GGATCTTCCCGGACCGGGGCACGAACCCGTGTCCCCTGCATCGGCAGGCGGACTCTCAACCACTGCGCCACCAGGGAAGCCCCTCAGCTGACACTTTGATCTTGGACTTTAAGCCTCATAACTGAGAAAATAAATTTCTATGGTTTAAGCTACCCAGCCTATGGCATTCTATTATGGCAGCCCTAGCAGACTAATGTAGGTCCTGTCTACAGAAAATGAACATATACTGGTTTGCAAGGCAGAAATAGAGACACAGATGTAGAGAACAAACATATGGACACCAAGGGTGGAAAGCTGGGGGGTGGGGTGGGATGAACTGGGAGATTGGGATTGACATATATACACTAATATGTATAAAATAGATAACTAATAAAAAGAAAAGGAACATATGTCAACCCTATGGCTCAGTGATTCGACTCCTAGGTATAAATCCAAAAGAAATTAGTACATATGTGCACCAAAAGACATGGACAAGATGTTCACAGCAGCAGTATTCATAATTCTCCCAACCTGGCAATAGTCCAACTGTCCATCAACAGTAGACTATATAGTGAAAATGGTATATCCACAAGATGCAATACTACATAGTAACAAAAATGAGCGGATTACAACTACACGTAACAGTAAGGAAGTACTTTACAGATATGATGGAAGAAGGATGCCAACATGAGAAAGCATATACCCTATGATGCCATTTACATAAAATTCAAAATCAAGCAATAATGGTTTTTCTTGATCTGGGTGCTGGTTACACGAGTGTGTTTGCCCTGAAAATTCATTAATCCTGTACACTTATCATTTGTCTATTTTCTGTATATATGTTCTATGTCAATAAAAAGTTTACATAAAAATAGTCACTCATTAAAAATGTCACACCATTGTAATAATGGAGAATGAGTTGCTATACTGTGTGGTGTGAAGGCAGTGCGATCTGCTGACCTGTGACTGAGCACTCAGTGATGTCACAGCAGCTTGGCCCACAGAAAGGACAAGGTGGTGGAGATCACGGTGGACAGCTGCTGGGAAGTCTCAGCATCGTACACCGGGTACACACACATCGCAATCTCCTTTAGCTGTGTGTTCAGGCAGGTAACAACTCTTTTAAGCACTAAATTGCAATTGCACGAATATACGCATCTTCTATACTAAGATATCTTTTAAAAATCATTGTACACTTCTGGAGGTAAGGTAAGTAAACTCTGAAAATGTCAAGTCATAACAGGTCAGTCTACGGCACTCTTGGTCAAGAATTGCCCACTGTACTCTGTTGAATAAACCATTTCTCTTGCCAGTGTCTCAACAACCTCTTCAGATATCTGAAGCCTAGGCTATGAATGGAGAATTTTGGGGGGATAACTTACTTTCCTGGTAGCTTCCCTTTATTCTCCACCAGAAAGTCAGAGGAGCTAGAAAGGATCTCATGGCTATAAATTTTGGTCCCAGCTATGATCTACTAAAGGGCAGAGCCTGAGGCTGTGAAGTGGCACTCCGAAGGGACTCTGAGACATCAGGGAGCCTGGGGAACTTTGGGTTCCCTCCCGCTAGGGAAAGGCATGGCTGCAAGAGCCAGGGCTGTAATTTACGCACAGTCTCCCCAACGGAGGCAGGTGTTCCTCTTTAGAGATGTATCGCCTTCCTTGTGCCCCACCCCAGGGGATCCTGGCAACCCAGCATCTGCTCCTTCAGACTCCTTCCAGGCATGGCAGGTATGACTCGCTTTTTTGCTCATGAGGATACTTCCTAATGAAAAGCTCCCAAGGCCTCTGGGCCCAGAGTAGCCATGACAGGGTTTAGCTTTTCCTTCCCCACACCAGACACACGCGTGCACGGGGATCTCCCAGAGCACTCACCTGGGGCGTCATCCCGTGGCAGATGTACACGATAGGAATATTCTCTGTGTCTGGACCCTGATCAAGACACAAATCAGTCTTCAGAGAGTTCTGCAGCTGAACACCAGGGGAGAGGCGGCCACACCGAAGAGAAAGGAACAGAGAAACAGATGCATTAAATCAGGAGAAACAAGCATTCCACTGAGACAGGCTCTGCTTCCATAATCAATCCGAGGCCCTCTGAATACTATGTAAACCAACAAGCACCAGCTTTTGCCTTGCATCAAGGTGCTGAGGAAAGACCAGCCTCCTCTGGAGGGGAAGCATTAGGATGCTGTTACACAGCAAGCTGGGTTTGCGGAGCTGGGATAGTCTAGGTAAAAATAAAAGATACACATGCACACACACGAGATGCTACTAGATTTTTCACCCCCTCCTTTTGCACAAGGGTGGCATAATGGCCTTCAGAAGTCCGTGGATAGAAGTCTTTGTTCTTGAGGGTTGGGGGAAGTGGGCAACATGTCAGCTGTTTGGGGGCCTGGGATATCCTCTAGGACCAGGCCTTCTCTGCTTCCTGCAAATCCAGCAGTGGTTGGCCAGGCCCCAGCGGAGGCCCAGCTGATGAGGGCTCTCCAGAGTGGGAGGTCTGGTGGGAGAATAAGAGAGAAGGGGGCCAGAGTGGGAGCAGGGGAAGAGAGAGGTGTCTCTTATCCTCACCTACAAGCACATGGCAATCAACAGAACAAATGTCTGGGTACCATGAACCAAGTCTTACCACATCTAGGTAGGAAAGCAGGTATTCAATGTCCCCTTCCGGCTTAAGCTCACTCTCAGCTTTGGAAAGGGCAGCTTACGGTCCACATGGTCCTGCTCGCATGCCATAGCTGAGTAGACCGTGGCAGGCGCCAACAAATAGCTTAGAATGAATTAACAGTCGTCTTTCTTTCCTCCCCTCTCCTGGTCCTTCTCTTTCTGGAATGCAACTATCTCATGATCCTCTTATTCTGTCCTAGGAGTCCAGATGAGAGACCAGACACCGTGGTCAGTGGGTGCTGGCCACTAGGATGGTGAGGCCATTTAGACTGGGTGTGGTGGATCTGCTGGGCCATGTGCAAGCAGAGGAATCCAGTGTGATCAAGGAGATGAGGCAGGAGGCAGATAGATTTAGAGACAAGAGAGATCATCCTGCCCCCGCTGCGGTTTGAGTGGCTTCCCAGCTCAAGTGCTCATGTCCAGCTGTACTTTAGTTCCTAAGCCCATGAGAGAGTTTGTGGTATCTTTACCCACCTAAACTTGAGCTAGCTTCAACAGCTCTTCTTAGCCATCAAAGCACTCTGTTCACAACAGGAGGCTGGAGATCAGAATCCAGGGGAGACCAGGGCAGTGGGCCACAGGTAGGTCATCTATCTGGGGAAGGCCAGAGGCAGACAGCAGCTAAGTTTTCGTAGTCTTGATGGACGTGGCAGGAGTGCAGTGAACCCAGTTAAGGGGTGCGAAATGGAACAGATAACCAGAGGCCCACGTGTGCTCTATGCGACCCCTGTTCTTGACAGGCGACAAGGAACAGAGGCAAATCTTTTTCTCTCGAGCTCCCTTTCCTTTACTGGGTGATAGCAGCTCAATCTCAAACTTGAAGTTTAGGGGTTCTGCAGAAATATGAGCATGTGTCAGCTCCCTAGGCAGGGCCCCAGAAGCATCGATGCAGCAAATCCTCTATCATAAACCAATTACTTGGCTGGCCTGTGTGGGAGGAGCATATGCAAATACTCTCTGGACTTCTCCCACAGCCCATGGAGGGGCGGGTGTCACATTTGAAGCCGAACACTGTAATCCATCAGTGAGACCTGCTAACTTTTACTGCAAAGAGAAAGTTCCAGAAAGCCCTGATGTCAGACTTGGATCTCCCCTGGATCCCCAAAGCTGGCCTCTGAATGAGGGGTGGGTGGTGCCTTTTGATAAAGTCCTCCTTGGCTCTGTGTCATCCACCCCCCATCAAGTAGGTGGTCTGTTGAGGAAGCTGGGAGAGAGGGCTGAGATAGAATCCTGGCTCCAGCTGTGTGGCCTTGGACAAAGCAACATAATTCCTGGTCTGTTTCCTTCACTCTCAAAGAGGGATAATACTAGTGCCAACCTCATAGGTTTGTGGATTAACTGAAACAATATCTACAAGTACTCAGCACAGGGCCTGACAAATAGCAAATGTGCAATAATTGTTAGCTGCTATTATTACCGCTATAACCTTTCTGAAGGCCGTTCAGGGAAACTAGCTTTTATGACTGCATCTATGTGCCAGGTCCCAGGTGAAGTGCTTTCCATGCGTTATCCCACCTAATTCTCAAAATAACATAGCCAGATCGGTAATACTATCTCTTTTAAGGGTGCAAGAAGTGTGTTACCGTAGGAAGCTCTGCACACCTCTCGGTCTGTCATGCTGTTCCCACTGCACGGACCCTCTGCTCTGGTCTCTTTTCCCTGACTGAATCCTCCTCTTCCTGTGGTCCTCAGCTTCTCTGT